TGAAAATATTTGTGAAAATATACTAACACACGTGCACAAGGTGTTACACTTGGTGGTTGGAACATTTGAGTAAGGGTGGAGAAGTTGGTGAAGTGAAGGAGGTGATTATCACTATGAAACAGCTGACCGAACGCAGGTTACGTTGTGACCGGACTTGGGGTGTTAGCGTCCGGTCATTTATAAATTTGTTGGTCACGCTCGGCTTCTGTTGGTTCACGATCGGACTCAGCACAGTGAAAGTGACCGAACGCGCAGGGCCTGCGTCCGGTCACAGGTGACGTCTGGTGATGTGGCGTTGGTGGGTTGACTAGAGAGGACCAGATGCTGGGCGTGTTAGGTCGTGGTTTTGCCTCTCTAGATCTGATTGGACACCAGGAAGGTGCGGCAGCAGCGCGTCCGGTCACGGCATGTTGGCTGCAGCGGAGCAGGTGAACGGACGTGGTGTCGGGCGTGTCCTGGTCGTTGATCGACGCGTCCGATCACAACTTAACCGCGCAGGCGAGACTAGCTGTTGAAATCGAACAAACGAGGTTGAACCGAGGGGCGACGTGGTAGCATCCATTGACCGAACGCGGGCTGGGTGCGTCTGATCGTTTTGACAATTTTGACCCTATATAATGACATTCATATGCTAATTTTGTAAAGACGGTTTCCGCCTTCCGCTCTAGGCCTCCTCTCAAGGAAACAAAGCGTATTAGTACAAAAAAACCTGTTGGGATGGTTAGAGGAGGTGAATATAGCCTAACTAAAAACCTTCAATGACAAAAACAAAAGTAGGCACAAGTATTAGTACAAAAGGTAATCCTTAATATTTCTATGCGCCTAGACTAGCAAGCAAATCAAGCCTTCCTATGCAATTCTAGTAGCAAGAATATCAACTAAATTGCAAATAATGCACACAAGCTACTCAAATTGAATTGTTCAACTAATCGAGCTACACAATATAACAACTACTTGATATAGTTACTCAACTAGTCGAGCTACTCTAAATACTACACAAGCACAATATGATCAATTGAATAACAAGTGTAGTAAGGGCAAACTACCGGGGTAAGTGACACAATGAAATTTTCACCCGAGGTTGAGTTGCTTGCCGACAACCTATGGCCCTGTTGAGATGAGTCTTTGGACTACCACTCCTCCACAATCCTAGCAAGCACTCAAGCTTGTCCCCGATGTGGGCGCGTGTCTATGAGCCGGTAAAGCCAACACAACACTCCAACAAGCATCGATTCCACTAATGGTTGCTCTTGCAATCTCCGCAAAGATGAGCATCGACTCTCTCATAATCCAATCAATCAGAGCCCTAGCACAATCACCAAGTGGTGCTCAATGATGACCCACCATAGTTTCAGGCCATCTAGGTGGTCAGAACCACCAAGAGTAATAAGAATTCCATAGTAGCCACGCTTCTCTAGTGCCACTATATGCAAACACTCAATGCAGACACACTAGATCACTCCAAATTTCACTTAAAAGTGATCTCAATCAAAATAATACGAGAGGGGTGTATTCTCAAGCTCTAATATGTGTAGGCAACAACAAGAGGGTCTAAGAGAGTGGACACGTCTGGCCACAAGAACTAGCCATTATAAAAAGATTGCACAGAAATTAGGAGCACTAGATAGTTCCAGTGAGCACCAGAGTGCTGCATTGGACCTTTTGTAACACCCCACATCCAAAATCTGCTTGGCCCAGCTCCGCACGTGGAGAGGGCCTGCATACGCATAGCATCTCGCTTACACTTTTATCCTTTTTTCGTGTAAAAGGGTTAACTTGGAGGTGTTACGTTTAGAACAACAACAAGGATTATAAGCTGGCCCTCGCCCTCCTACCACCCCTTAGTACACCCCTCCATGGACACATGCAGTAAGGGTCGATGCTGCCGCAAGTGGAACGGGCCTACATACGCATCGTGCCTTGCTTACACTTTTGTCCTCGCTTCGTGTAAAAAGGTTAACACAGAGGTGTTACGTTTGGAACAACAAGGATTATAAGCTAGCCATCATCCTCTTAAACTTCCAAGGTGGTACGAAACCCACCAACTATAACTCTTCATGTGTCATATGGGCCAAATTCATAACTACTATAGGCTACTAACAGGGTGAGGTGTTACACGTTTCCAATGGCTAAAAAACTAGTCGTTCCTACCAAAAGCTCTAGTGACAGCAACGGAGCGATTTGATGAACATTGCACTTGAAAACACCAAAAACAACCTCTTTCGATGATCTGCGCTCTGCACCGGAACTTCCAAATGAGCACTTTTGAAATTCCTGCACGTTGAACACCACTTTTCCAAAGCTCCGGTGAACACCGAAACTTAACATGGCCGCTCTGATGTTTTTCAATAGTTAAAACCAATCTCCAGTGAGCCCACAATACACTTCCGGTGGTCCCTAAGCCTCCCTCTAAACTTCACCAGACCATCTCTTCAGTGACACCTCCGGTGCCCACCCGAGAGTTCCATTAAGTGCAACAGATTTGCACAAAGGCTTTTTCTCAACCCGTTTTTGCAAGTGTGCCAACTCCAAATGTGTTCTAATAAACACCTTCACTTTTAAACACCGAGTTAGAATTTTCAAAAAAATTCACTTGCTTTCTCACCACACACTAAGTCTAATGCATATGCAGGGAATGTCATCACCTAGTGGCACTAGATAACCGTAGTTGCTTTAAGATCTCCCCTCTTAATAGTATGGCTACCTATCGTGAACCTAAATGTGCACTCTATTGCATCTTGGCCGACAAAAATAAAGTCCTAATGATATACCTTTGCCTTCGGGCTTGCTTCTAACACCATCTCCTTCTCTTCTCTCCAATGTTGAGCACTTTGCATCCTGTGGTGTGCATCATCTCCACCATCCTCTAGCCTTACTCAACTCCAAGTGTGGAACTAGCTCAATTGTCTCCATTGAACACATTGGTTCACCGGTTGTCACTCAATTATTAAGACAAACTAGGGCCTTCAACCGTGTGAGATATTCATGTGAGCTAGCTCAAGTTAAGGATAAGATTATAGGCTATAAACTTGCATCTATAGATTTTTATTCAAAGTGATTCCGAGAGAATATTGTTTCTTTAGTAGACGATAATAATATTTTAGGAGAAATTAAGAGTTAAAATATATTTTATTTGACTTTTTTCAATAGTCATTTCACCTTGCACCATGGTACGTACTCAAGATGTTGAATTTGTCATATCAAAAAATCATATATGTAGTAGTATTGTTCTATAAAATATATAGTGTTTAAATTAAGTTACTAATATTGATATGACATTACGTTTCTTTAAAATGTATAAACCTGTTTAAGATAAAAACTTAGGAAATTTATTACCATGGAGTATCGATATAACTTAAAATTATCAGTCATTGATATGTGCTTTGTTAAGATTTTTCCATGCTTCATACGATATTGAAATAATTATTTATCTAATGCATACATTTTTACTTGGTCTACATGGTGGAATATAGTATTATGTTTACCCTTAACTTAACCACATAATATGGATGTTGAATTATTTTTTGTAATAGGTTGTATTTGCATTTACATGTAGGTTTGAAAGATATCTTTGTTAATTTTTTTTTATAATGGCTAAGGTGGATAATTGAGATACAAATTGAAAGGTGTTTTCTAATCTCTTTTCATAATGGCGCATATTGGTAATCTGAATGTAAATTTAGGGATTACTTTGTATTATCTTTCATAATGGCATATGTAGATAATTCATAAAAAATGCATGCTAGTAAAGTAGTTGATTCATGTGGTAGCACATACTTGCATCCGAGTAGGTAGATCATGCATGCTTGTCTATATACCTACCACGTAGTTGGCTTGTATATAACAAGAGCAAAGCATAGTTATTTGTGGCAGGCCGTGTTGTTAGCTTCTCCCTGAGTTATAGTCGTTAGCTTCTCCCCAGGTTATTAGCCTAGTTGAGGTGTTAGAGGAAAACAAAGGATAAAATTGGTCCTAAATCAGGGGCCCAAAACATTGGAGATTGACCGACTCACACATAATAAGCATAGACATTTCCCCCCATGTGACCATATATTTTGTTTCATCTTTTGTAAGAGATGTTGGATTGGGCCAAGCTGAGACTATTCTATTACCTATCGGATAAGCCTTGCAGCCTCAGAAACCATGACAATTATTCTTGCTATTGGCATCTGGAGCTGCTGCTTGGAAATGTTATCAGAATAGCTGTATAGAGTGTTGATAGCTTTCAGAAAAAGATCTTGGTTTAGCGCCAGTTGTTCAGTTTTGATTTGGGGTTTGCTCTTAGAAGGTCCACATACAATCCACCAAAGTTCAGCACGACACTTTTTGAAAACTATCGATGTTGACTGTGCTGAGGTGGCGGTTGACTGAAAATGTGGAGCGTTCTGATTGGCTCGCTGGCGATTGGATGGTGATGTAGGTCATTTTTGCACTTGTTGTCCCAAGGCTTAGAACGACTATCTTTCTGGGATCGGGGGAGTACTCATTGGCCCTTCCACTCTAATGCCATTGTTGACAATTTTGACCCTATATAATTACTACATTCATACGCTGATCGATTTGCACCGATCGAACTGGATTGATACCGTCTTCGATGGAGCTCCGGGTCCGTCAGATCGAACCCGCTCTCTCGGAGGAAACAAATTGGTAGGACCCAGAGTATAGGACGTGTTCTTTTTGCTCTCAAAAACAAAGCGTGTTCTTTTTTGAAGTTGAAAAAAAGCGTATTCGAAATGTTGTAAAAAAAAAGGTATTCGAAATAAAAAGTGACACCCTGTGGCGCTTCTACAGGGGCCCCGCCGCGTTCTCCAGTTTCTCGCGCGCGCGCCGCCGTCGGCGGAACCAGCCGCCGGCTCCGTCTCTCCGCCCCTGCCCCGCCCCGCCCGGCGTGTAATCTCAGACCTAACCTAACCAGACTACTACCAGAGTCACTCCCCGCGCGCGCGCACCCGAGCCCCCTGTTCTGGTGATTGGTGAAGACCTTGTCGGAGACCGCAGCGATGTCGGCCGCGGCGGGGACGCCACCGGAAGGCGGAGGGGATCGGCCGTGGCAGTCTTACCATACCGCATACACCAACGCCAAAGCTGGTACGGGCGCACTTTCTCTGCTCGCTCAATATTGGGGGTTTTCCGGGGTTTGACACGGCGCCGGCTTAACACGAAACCTACGGGTAAATTTTCGCCATAAGTGCGTTACTAGTTGGGCGGCATAATGTTAGAACAAATCTGGAGCTGATCTTTCACTTTGCCATCAGATGAGTCAAGATACATGTAACATTTGCGTATGGCACGATATTAGTTCCGTTCGTTTTCTTCATTTAATGCCTTTTCTCCTTTTTTTCACAATATAAAGGGCTATCGGACTTTAGTGGTATGTACTGTTTTTGTCCAGTAGACTGGTACTTTGCTAGTCATGGCCACTGTAAGCGTATAATGTCATCTATGCTATGAAGTTTATTTGAGATTTTTGTAATTGTTCTCTTGTGGTGTTGCACTAGGAATGGAGGGTGTTGACAAAGAGAAGGTGCAGAAGGTAATCTATGAAATGAGCAAGGGCTCAAAATATTTCGAAAATGAGCAGAGGAAGGAGGCAGTCACCAAACAAAAGATTGAACATCTCCGTGCGCAATGTGCAGCATTGACTGATAATGACATATCACATTTTCAGAAGGTATGGACTAACACATTTTCATGCTAGCTTTTGTCTGTCACCTTTTTGGTCATATAATTTGTAAGCCATGCTTCAGTCTCCTACACATTGGTTGATGGTCATAAAACACCACAAAGATACAACAGAAAATATGTGATTCCTTCAGGGTAACATCAAATGGTCAATTCATCAATGTTTTTCTTGTGCATTTGATATAATGCTCTTTGTTTCACAGCATCAAACAGAATCTGTACCAAGCCAATGTAATGATTAATATATGTGTGCTCCATATTTTACTAATGCCATTTTATTTCTCGTCTCTTATGTATTTATCCCTACATGACAACATAATTTTCAGGTTGCTGAGAAGAAAATGTTAGAGTTGGAAGCTTCACGAGATCTTTCAAAGATATGGCTTCATACTGACATGGATGCCTTTTATGCTGCTGTTGAGACATTGGAGAATCCATCCTTGAAGGGAAAACCCTTGGCAGTTGGTAGCATGTCTATGATAGCTACTGCCAGTTATGAGGTGAGCATACTACCTTATTATGAAATATACGAAAAACTTTTAATTTAATCACTAAAAGAAGAAAAAATTATGTGTTCAGTTGTTGTATTTGAAAATGTTGATTGAAATTTCAACGTTGCATTTCAGTGTTATAGACTGGAAACTGGATGGGCCAAAGTGGTGTTAGTTTTGTTTTTTTTGTCGTTTGGTAAATGTAGGAACAGTAGTCCCCATGTTGTATAGTGGTAACTGGATGGGCCAAAGTGGTGTTAGTTTTGTTTTTTGTCATTTGGTAAATGTAGAAACAGCAGTCCCCTTTATCTAATGGATTGTGTAATTGATTCACTGATTCAGGCACGTAAGTTTGGAGTACGTGCAGCGATGCCTGGTTTTATTGGATGCAAACTATGTCCTGGCTTGGTTTTTGTCCCACCAAACTTTGAGAGATATACTCATTATAGCGAGCTGACAAGAAAAGGTTTGTAAAAAAATACTGCTAATCTAATCATTACAGAAGGAACTTGAAACATATAATGCTAAGATCTACTGAGAAGAACTGATTATTGAAGCATTGGTGCCCTTAGTTTTCCAGAGGTATGATCCCAACTTCATTGCAACAAGTCTTGATGAAGCATACCTCAATATAACTAATGTTTGCACTGAGAGAGGCATTACAGGCGAGGAGGTAATCATGAGCCTTTCTAACTGTCACAGCTTCCTGATGCTTTACTTACCAGGAGCACGTGATTTGATTTGCTTATCAATTTAATCTCCTCCCAACATTCTCGTACTACATGATATTTTTTACTGATCACATCACACTGGTTTTCTTAGGTTGCTACTGAACTTAGGTCTGCCATTCACCAGGAAACTGGTCTAACATGTAGTGCTGGGGTTGCTCCAAACCGTATGATTGCGAAGGTCAGACCTTGAAGTTTTGTTTACTTTTCTTCTCTCATTTGAATGTTACCTCGAAAGTGGCAACGCCCTGTTTGTGTTATTTTTAATCTCTGTGTGCCTTCTTCATCAGTATTTCATTGAATGCCTTGTTGGGTTAACATATAATTAGGTAATAACTAATAAACTAATTGGGTTGTACTGGAGTACTGGCAAAGCATTTGCTTTGCACAACCAATATCTGTTGCCATTGAAGCAGTTGTTTAGCAAGCATGACTGGGGACCTTTTTGGTTAACTCATCCTGTCTACTTTTTTTTTTTAATCGTCCTCTGTTCTTATTCATGTTGGTGTAGCTTATCCTACAGCAAAATTACAAGGTTCCTTTCCCTTTTTCTATCTTTTTTCTAGGTTTGCTCTGATATTAACAAGCCCAATGGGCAGTTTATTTTGCCAAATGACCGGGAAGCTGTGTTGACATTTGTATCTACATTGCCTATAAGAAAGGTAATTCCGTTTTTTACTTTATTATATAATTATTAAAAAATCGTTCCTTTTTGTTTTACTGTCCCATTTTTAACCTTGTTTTCCGCTTTGTATTTGGACATTTATTTGGTTATACTGTAAGATGTGTTGTAACCATTGTACACACTTTTCTCCCACAGATCTGAGGTACAAATCCTGATAATAGTTTCTCTATGCATTTATGAACTCACGTTTTATTTCTTTGCTTATGATGTAATGTTGTTCACTTCTTGATGCTGGCCTTTCTTTGGTTATTTGTGAAAAGGAAAAAAAATGATTTGTTATTTCAAGATCTTTGTATGCAGATAGGTGGCATAGGTAAGGTAACAGAACAGATGTTACGTCAGGTTCTTGGAATCAGTACATGTCAGGAGATGCTGCAAAAGGCTGCTTTTTTATGTGCTCTTTTTTCGGAAGGCTCAGCTGGTCCGTATGTTAATTATACATGTTTGCTGTTCTTTTGAAGCTTTTAGAAAGCTATTTTATCCAAGCAAGATCTCATAATTCAAGTTGAATCCTATGTTTTCAGATTTCTTCCTTTCGGTTGGTCTTGGGTTAGGAGGTACAGAAACCCCAGAGCAAAGGCAAAGGAAAAGTATCAGTTGCGAGCGAACTTTCACAGCAACAAATGATTCTTCTTTGCTTTTCGAAAAATTAGGTAAACATCTTAACTTATTTGTGTAACTGAGGCCTGATGATTACACATCTCAATTGGTAGCATCTTGCCATCAATTCAGATCTCTTGTGCTAAAACAACTTAGTTTCACTGCAGAAGGCTGCTTGCTCTATTAGCAATTTCTTCTCTCTCTTACAACACACACACACACAGCACTGAAAAAAACAATTACATTCCCGCGTATTCAAATGTCAGTAAACATTTTGTACATTAGTTTGATTTGGAACCATGCAACCTATCAGAGTACTTGTAAAAGCACAATTTGTAATACATTATGGATGTTCTTTGTCGAACCTTAAGAGGTCAGTTTGAACGTTTTAGAAATATCAAAGCCCAGTCTCCTTGCTGCTATATCATGCAAATTTATGGAAGTAATAATAAGATTTACTCCCTCCATTCCAAATTGTAAGTCGTTCCGGCTTTTCGAAGTACATAGCTTTTGCTACGCATCTAGATATACATTATGTCTAGATGCAAAGTAAAAGTATTGTATCTAGAAAAGCCAAAACGACTTATAATTTGAAATGGAGGGGGTACCTTACCAGCATTTTCCTGTTATGATTGTATTTGTAGCCTACATTTTGTTGTGAGTTCTGTAGTGGTATATACCAGTACCTTTTCATGTGCTCAGGAATGATTTTGTGGGAATAAACCCTGTAAAACAGTAAAGATGTCATCAGGACTTCATGTGATATTGCACCTGGTGATAGGATGCTAGCATGTTTCGACGCATGACTCGCCGCATTGTTATCTATTTTCAGATAGCCTTGCAGAAAATTTAACTGATGATTTGCAAAAGGAGGGTTTGAAGGGAAAGACACTAACACTCAAACTGAAGACTGCAGATTTTGAGGTTTGGTTCTCCCATTCTAATAGTTGTTGACTGATTTTTCTGTAACAAGAACCAAGAGAGATGGTTTTTTTTTCATGGATTACTAGATTGATCAATGATCTGAATCAGGTTCGGACAAGGGCAGTAACTACACGGAACTACATCAACTCCAAGGAAGATATCCTGGTCTATGCTACAAAGTTGCTTAAGGCTGAAATGCCTCTTTCTTTGAGACTGATGGGTTAGTGTGTGCACATCTAAATTATTTTAGTTGGATCAAACTTTATGACTACTAATTGTGTGAAACTCCTACAGGATTGGCTTTTTGCTTCTAATAACTTCTTAGTTCATATGACAAATTTTTGTTTGTCCTCAAGTTCGTTTAGCTGCTTTGACAGCTAAAAGTCATGTGGTTCTGTCATAGTGCATGTTTCATTTACCTTATCAAATTGGACTGCAATGACTGTCATTTTTTGTGTGGTCATATTTTGATGTCATGTATTCTGTTTGGACAATACTATGCTATTTGCATTTGACATTTTTTTGTTCTTGCTGCTCGAGGAAGTCAGACCTGACAGTTACCCTTATACAAACTAATAGGATTGCGGATGTCTCAGCTGCATGATGAGAAGGATGATCCATCTACTTCAACACAAAAGACACTAGATATATTTTTTCGTTCATCAAACAGTAACTCAAATGTCAATGGAATAAATGTTCAGAGAATCACTAATACCTCAGGGCAGGATAATGATTCTATTACTCTCACAACCAAGGAGGAGTACTTGGTACTTGATGCTGGCACAGGTGTTTCCACAGATCAACAGGATTTCTTCCTAAATGATGAGAGCTGTTTTATTCCCGAACAAAGGAGTTTAGGCAATTATAGTAATGAGGCTGTCCTAAGCAACCCGTTAGGTGGAACAAAGTTAGATGATGTGTCTTCCAGTGCAAAGGTTTGTCTGAATTAAAATTTCTATTATTTCACAGCTAACGAAAAAGGGTGGACTTTTCTGTCCATGTCTTCATACGCAAATTCATAAGTGAACCTTACTTTTCATAAGGTTGCGCCCACTGAGAAGCTTGAATGAACCTGATAACTTGACCAGTCCGAAGGCTGTGGCTTCATCAAGCAAACCTGATCAGCAATCATGGATTGATGGCTACATTTGTTCCATTTGTGGATTTGAACTACCTCCAGGCTTTGAGGAGGAGAGACTAGAACATTCAGATTTTCACTTGGCTGAAACACTCCAGCATGAAGAAGCAGTGGACGGTACAAGACACATATCAAACGAGAGGTATCTATGTCTGTTGTTTTCTGCTACAGATATGTTGTTTTCTGCTGCTGTTACAAACTAGGCCGTTGAATTGTTTCTTACTGGTAGGACTTGGCCTCATCCGTCTGGTGCCATCCTTGTTGCTATACTAATACATGCTTCGTTTTTTCCATTTATGTTTTGAACCTACTAAATGATTCATGTTGCCATAGTAGTATAGCCTTTATTTTATTCTCCTGATATTACTCAGAGATGATATGAACGTTTCATAACATCTTTTCGTCTTCTTCTGTTTTCAGCAGGCTGGCTGAAAGACCATGCTCTACTACACCCACACCCAAGAAGAAACTGAAGTCTTCTAAAGAAGGAAAACATATCCCAATTGACGCTTTCTTCACGAAGTGTAATAAGAACTTGTGAGATAGGACTTACTGGCAATTCTGTAACTATGGGTATGCTACCCACTTAGCCAAGTGTTGTACGTGTAACTTTATTCTTGATGAGTGTAATATGTAAATATATCACCTCATCTCTCAGGTAAAGACGTCCAGTAATTATTATTTTTTTTTTTTTCTGTTTTGCTTTTCTTGAACGGGAATTGAAGTTCAAGATCAAAATGATGTACTCCCGAACAGGAAATTTACCGTAAGTTCATAGGAAAAAAAGGACCGTGTATGTTAAGTGCATATGAATTTGTCATGTTTTTTCCTCTTTTTTTTTGGATAGGGATCTGAATTTGCTATGTGGAGGACAGAGGACCAAACAAGCAAAGCAAGGTCAGGGTTATTCTCCAAAAACAAATTAATGGTTTTCTTGTTATACATGTAGATATCCAAAACGTATTGGTCATATTCATAAATGGAGTGATAATTATGTGCCTTAGTTAAAAAAGAAAACAGAATATCCTCCCAATAAGCCCTTGTTTAGTTGGGTGAATTTAGATTTTGAAATTCATATTTTAGCAAAAATTGAGTGATAATTAGCCAAAACGCCTTAGTTCCATCAAACTGTGCAATTAGTTTTTTCCTCCCAATAAGTAACATTCACGGATATAGCCACAGCAGGGTTCGAGTGAGATTTTTCGGACAAGAGAATGAACTACCCGGTGCTTGTACTTGTACCTGTCAGTCCGCCCGCCAGCTTCATTCCTGCACGTCACGTGGTCAGAAAAATTCAGCAAGCATACTCAAAGGGGAGGAAGGGGGAGACGGCAATCATGCACAGCGGCGTCGACGCTCGGCCGGGGCCCCCCCTCCTCCTCCCCGGCGCATCACCAGGTCCCTGCTCCGGCCGCCGGGTCCCATGGCCGCGGTCGGGGTTAGGGGCTGCGCTGCGGCGGCCAAATAGCCCTCACGGCCGCCTCCGCTTCGGGCCCCTCCCCGCTGGCGACCTCTGCAAGCGGGCCCACCGTGTCCGTATCTCTCACCCTGCATATATCTTTTTGAATTTTGATGATCATCTATCATCTTTTTGTTTCATCATAAGTTTTTTTATGGGCCCAGAGCCCCAGGATAACCTATGATATGTAGCATGTTATGCCAATAATTATTTGAGATTTCCTAGTGTCACAGATTTTCATTAGAAATTATTTCTTAAAACCTTTTATATCACCCAAAAAAAGTTTGTTCACTGTAGCAAAACTCATGGCTTCTTCTTCCTGTGTGGCAGGAGAAGCTACGTGTTGCTGTGCTTGTATGGAAGTCCACACTGCAGAGCGAACATGGTAATTGCGCAATGGTTCATTTGCTTCATCGTATAACTTGGACTCCAAGATGTCACATTTTCTGACCTCAATCCGGTCCTCAATGCTGCTGTTATCTAAGCATGTTGCCCAAAACACATCTACTCAGGTGTTTCACTTCAGGGTGAGTGTGTCGTTCCTGAAGGTGTCAAAGCTGCTGGGTTTCAGATCTCTGCCGATGACCTAGCATCAATCGTTGAAAATTGTGACGCTGAAAAGTTGACTGTGCTTGGCCAGCTGGATGGGATCGCAGACAAGTTGGCGACGTCGTTAGCTGATGGAATCACCACAGATGAGTGCAGCCTGAATCGAAGGCAGGACATGTATGGAGCGAACAAGTTCACGGAGAGTGAGCTCCGCGGCTTGTGGGAGTTTGTGTGGGAGGCGCTGCAAGATACTACTCTTGTAATTCTTATAGCATGTGCCCTTGTATCTTTTGTTGTTGGCGTTGCCACAGAAGGGTGGCCGAGTGGTGCCCATGATGGCATTGGAATTTTTACAAGTATCCTCCTGGTTGTTTCTGTTACTGCGACAAGCAATTATCAGCAGTCTTCGCAATTCAGGGATCTGGACAAAGAGAAAAGGAAAATTTCTATTCAGGTTACCAGAGATGGGTTCAGACAAAGGATATTGATGGATGATCTTCTTCCTGGTGATGTTGTCCACCTAGCTGTTGGAGATCAGGTTCCTGCAGATGGCCTCTTTATTTCTGGGTATTCTGTATTGATCAACGAGTCCAGCCTAACTGGTGAGAGTGAACCTGTTGTCATAAATGAAGATAACCCTTTTCTTTTGTCAGGGACTAAAGTCCTAGATGGGTCATGCAAAATGCTGGTTACAGCAGTAGGGATGCGAACACTGTGGGGCAAACTAATGGCTGCCACCACTGAAAGTGGGGATGATGAAACTCCGCTGCAGGGTAAACTAAATGGAGTTGCAAATACTATTGGAAATATTGGTCTGTTTTTTGCCCTTTTAACTTTTGTTATCCTCTCGCAAGGGCTAGTGGGCCAGAAATACGTTGATGGGCTTCTTTTAAGCTGGTCTGGAGAAGACGTGCTGGAGATACTGGAACATTTTGCCATTGCAGTCACAATTGTTGTTGTTGCTGTTCCTGAGGGATTGCCTTTAGCAGTGACATTGAGCCTTGCATTTGCAATGAAGAAGATGATGAATGAGAAGGCACTGGTACGACAGTTAGCTGCCTGTGAAACTATGGGCTCAGCCACAGTCATCTGTAGTGACAAGACAGGAACTCTTACAACTAATCGCATGTCTGTCATGAAGGCTTGCATATGTGGAAACGTCATGGAAGTGACCAATCCATCAGTGCTTTCAAGTTTTTCTTCCAAACTCCCAGAATTTGCTTTGCAAATTCTTCTGGAATCCATTTTTAACAACACTGCTGGTGAAGTGGTGATTAACCAAGATGGGAAGTGTCAGATACTAGGGACCCCAACTGAGGCTGCTTTGTTGGACTTTGCATTGTCAGTACACGGAGACTTCAAAGAAAAACGGCAGGAAACTAAGATTGTTAAAGTCGAGCCTTTTAATTCAACAAAAAAGAGGATGAGCATCATTCTCAAGCTTCCCGGTGGAGGATACCGTGCACATTGTAAAGGTGCTTCAGAACTAGTCTTGGCTGCCTGTGATAAATTCATAGATGCCAGAGGTACTATTGTTGCACTTGATAAAACAGCTACAAAGAAACTCAGTGATATCATTGAAACCTTTTCTAAAGAAGCACTCAGGACACTCTGCCTTGCTTATCAGGAAATGGATGATAGCTTTTCCATTGATGAGCAAATACCGCTACAAGGATACACATGCATTGGTATTGTTGGGATCAAAGATCCTGTTCGTCCAGGTGTCAGGCAGTCTGTGGCAACTTGCCGGTCTGCTGGCATTGCCATTCGAATGGTTACAGGAGACAACATAAATACAGCAAAGGCAATTGCTCGTGAATGTGGTATACTTACTGAGGATGGTATTGCCATTGAAGGTGCTGAGTTCAGAGAGAAAAATCCCAAAGAACTCCTTGAGTTAATTCCAAAGATGCAGGTTTGCCATGTACCTAATAATTTATCTTTAGCTTGCAAGTTTTTATCCATATAGGAAATCCTCATGAGCCAGTATGCCTGTGTGCTGAAGGTCCTGGCTCGATCGTCACCACTTGATAAGCATACACTTGTGAAACACTTGCGTACCACGTTTAATGAGGTTGTTGCCGTGACTGGTGATGGTACAAATGACGCACCAGCACTACGTGAGGCAGATATTGGACTTGCCATGGGAATTGCAGGGACTGAGGTAATAATATCACTAAGCAATGAGTATAATATCCTCGAGATATTTGGAGCCTACAAATCTGTCATCTCTTAGATATAATCTTGCAAGATTTTGCAAGCTAAGTAGACCTGAATCTTGACTTCATACTCTGGTTTCCACCTTGAAGTCACATCTATTTACTCCACGACTGATTGATCAGTAGTATGTACTTTGCACATGTGTTCATTGGTAATGGCTGCATTCTCAATAAGAATTTCCTAGAGGAAAGCCCATTCATGGGTAGAAGTATATCTTCAAATTCTGTTATCAAGGCCCTCCACCAAAATTCATAGAGGCTGCCACACATATGATGTGTGTTTCATCAACATATGATGTGTGTTTCATCAACATATGATGTAGTGCAATGTTGATGCAAATAAACAGTGGCCTGTATGGCTTGTCAAGTATCAGTGTTCAACTACTTCCTCCAGTCACAAGAACATGTTGTTTAGGACAATATTTTATGAAACCTTAAAAATTACAAACATCAATAACTTTTAATTGTGACCAAAAGCTAGTAGTTCCTAGTACAATATGGGTTTTAATGCAATTTCTGATAACAATTCAATAAAATAAACATATGCAAAGGTGATATATCCTCTACTGGTTGTTGCCATTTTATGTGTGTGTTGTGTGTTGGAGTGGGGGGGGCTCTTTTTCACCCTGAAAATAAGCTCTTCTGTATCCTCCATGATCTGAATAGGTTCCAGAGCACAAACATTTACTACCAGACTCTGTAAATTGCTTTACGCAGGTAGCAAAAGAGAGCGCTGATGTTGTTATTCTTGATGATAATTTCTCCACCATCGTAACAGTAGCCAAATGGGGACGATCTGTTTATGTCAACATCCAAAAGTTTGTGCAGTTCCAGCTGACTGTTAATATTGTCGCACTTCTGGTTAACTTCTCTTCCGCGTGCTTTACAGGTATATTTTCCTCTATAATCACAAATATAAGTCCATCTAGGTTTTAAGTTAAACTTTTTACATTTTACTATTGATATCGATGTTAAAGTTTTATATAGATTGATATTAAAAGATTGACATTGCTAGATTCACTAAGAAAAATACTTCTATAAATATAATTCTTTCCATTTAAAATAATATATTTTTCTAGATATTGTTAGTCAAAGTGTCATATTGAAGACCGTGTTAATGGTCTCAATGTGATCGGAGGAAGTTTTATTCAATAGTGTTAAGTTATCACCTCTCCATCTCATGATATACATGTTCTCATGCCAGGAGATGCTCCACTGACAGCTGTTCAACTTCTTTGGGTTAACATGATCATGGATACCCTAGGAGCGCTTGCACTTGCAACTGAACCACCTGATGATAACTTAATGAAGAAATCACCAGTTGGAAGGGCAGGGAAATTCATCACAAACGTGATGTGGAGGAATATTGTGGGGCAGTCAATATTCCAGTTTGTGGTCATTTGGTATCTACAAACTCAAGGGGAATACTTGTTTGGGCTCGAAGGCTCTGAAGCTGATACTGTTCTAAATACAATCATATTCAACACTTTCGTCTTCTGCCAGGTAAATCAACCATCACGAAATCCTCACTTTACCTAGTTTTCTACCGTAGTCTATTCAGTAGAGATTAAAGTACCAGAGATAAGAGAAACTGGGCAGAAATGAGGAGGCCATTCCTTGGTTTAGCATTCTAGAGTACAGGACAAGGAACAGAACAGATAAGAGAGTTGGAAAGACAGGATAATGATGCGATTTTTTTTTTGTGGTTTCTAACAATGTAGGTGTTCAATGAGATAAGCTCGAGAGACATGGAGGAGATCAATGTTATCAAGGGCTTGCCACAGAACTCCATTTTCATGTGCATCCTCGCTGGCACCATCATCTTCCAGTTCATCCTCGTCCAGTACCTAGGAGATTTTGCCAACACCACACCTCTCACCCAGCTCCAATGGCTCGTCAGCATTCTCTTCGGCCTCCTCGGGATGCCCATTGCTGCTGCCATCAAACTGATTCCTGTGGAACCTCATGAAGACAGTGGACGAATATCATGATCATGTAGATTAAGAGCAATAGATCAGTTTCGCCAACTGCTAACTATTGTAACCTTACCTAATGCACAAGAATAGGAGCAGAGCACCAATTTGTGAAGAAACAGTTAGTTTGACTGCACCATAAGTACAGAATGGGTTGGTTCTCGGTGGCATACTAAATTGTATATTGAATTGTCCATTTTTTTTCCTTACAAATAGTGCCTTGTGGCTTGTATACACTAGCGTCCATTCGGTATTATGAAATGGCATCTGGTGGGTTACAATAACGTGGATCGGTACATAAGTTATACACGTGTCAGTTGTAAGTAGACTGTAAATTTGAATGCAACAGCAGTTATATCTCTAGCTTGATTCAAACAATTCATTTCTGATTTCTACTTGTCAGTGGAAAACTGGAAATGCTCTTCTATCCAATCACATGGTCACTGCAGTGCCTTTGTTGAACAATGGCACCGTTAAAAAAAAAGACAGCGTGATGCAAATGAGCCCCTGGGCTGTACCATTACAGCAATGAATATACACGCTTAAAGAGATGCATATGCCTAAGTAATACTATTCAGTTGCAAGTCACCAATTTGTTGCTTACAACTGGTATGTACATCAATCAGACATCGGTGAGAACCGATCTTATCAGCGCTTTTGCTTTCTCCAGTTGCTGCCTCGAATCGTCATCATCAACAAGCTCATCGCTGACATACCTATCAATCTCAAGGAAATTCTCACGAAGAAAGTCACGAGTAAGCTGCAGCTTTTCCAATGCTAGGGAGTTGTTCCCTAGCAACTTGTCACAAACGAAAAGAGTCATGCCCAAGACAATGTCATACTCTGATCTTTGCAGCGTCAACTGGAAAGTGGACAGAAGGACTCCGCTCACGCAATCAAGGATTCTGGGGCTTCCTTTCTTCAGGAGAATCGCCATCATTTCTGCTAGCTTTCTGCATAACGGTGAGTCCTCACCCTCTGCAGCCGGATTGCTTTGCTCATCCTGGCCAGGCTCTTTGGAATCAAGAATCTCATTCTTTGCCACGGCAGTGACCCACAGTGGTAAGACAGAGTCAGCAAAGTGGAAGACGTTGGGTGCCATTTCATTATGTGGTCCAATTAGCCACCGGCATACAAGACCCAACAAGAGAAGAGGCAGCCATTGCTTCAGAATAGAAACTATGCTGAGTGCAAATCTTGAGCCAGCAAAGGACTCGACAGCTGGCACAAGATCAAGAAGATCATTTGCAAGGAAGAAGGCTTCCGCTGGAGGGCTTGACTCCTCAGGTGAGCTTGATAAAACCAAATGGAGTAGCTTGGATGCGTATGTAAAGGAGCTCCGTACAAGCAACAAAGCGTCCTTCAGATAATCCCCCTTGAAAGATGAACTCTGTTCCTGATGCTTTTTGATGGATGATATTGCATATTTTATGTAGGATGATGCAAATTTGAGGCACCTTATTTTATCATCATTGACTGGCTTCATAGTTGTGTCAACGATAAACTTGAGAATTGAAGCGCCCAGCATAATCGCATTAAACGTGCCTTTCACTGCATTTGCATTAAGTACATCATCCACTTAGCCGGCAGTAACATTATACACAGATATTGGTAACAACAGATAGGTTAATTACATTATTTTGCATGTTTTCAGAAGATAATACAAACATTCTGGTTTTTTAATGTAACAGTAAGTTTAATAGATTTTTCACATCAGAAATTGTAAAATGTGGTGTAGCTATACCTTCAGATGCTCCTTTCTGCTGGTCTTTTGATCGTGAAGCTTTTCCATTCTTGTTCGATTTTGATGGTGGATTGTTAACAGTTCCATTTAGAAGTTTGTCGAAACAATTGAGCAGATGGTCCAGTGACTGATTTGCAGTTGAGGACTGAAACAATGAAATTTCCTATAGTAAAAAAAATTATCCAAATAAAGTAGACCTTTAACAATAGAATGGAAAAGGAAAATATGATTGATACATAACTGTCGGAAAGCTATCAACCCAAGTGCAGTTAGCAAATTTTATTACCAGTTCACAATGATATTCCAACTGATGATTACTGGATATCAAAATTTTGGTAGAAACTGTGAGATCCAAGTGTGGTGGAAATTTGGAACTTACCTCAAAGCAGCTTCCAGTTTGATTAACATCTGGAAGGTCATTACATGTAGCCAGACTCAAATAGGCCAATACAGGTGCAAGGTCTAAAGAGTCCAAATATAGGCACTGCTCGACGTACACTTGAGAAATGACCTTCAGGGAAGACAATGCAATCTCTGAATAAGAAGATTGAAGAAAGGCATCTCTCAAGTCTTTAGATTTTACTATTTCATTGATCTGCCATGCTGCCCCCGCTGCAACAGCAAGCTCTTCATTACTGACTTTTGATTTGGATGACCCCTTTCCAACACTGTCACGTACCGGTATTTTCTTAAGTGCCTTGCCTTTCTTCCTCCTTGAAGATGCAACAGGGCATGGAGGAGGTTCAACTCCATAGATCTCAGCAAAATCAGAGGCTTTAGATTGCAGAGTATTAGTCAATGCTTCAAACAACTCATCAGACCAGTCACCCAAAACTATCAACTTATGTGCTTCCAGCACTGTTTCCTGATATTCTTCTTGCTTTGAAATCCTAGCAGCATTCACAACTATATCCATGCATTCCTCATGCAGCACAGATAGATCATCAGGTAAAAGAACTGGAGCTATACTAAGAAGGGCAGCCCGAGCACCCTCAGAAACAGCAATTTGAAGGACCAACCTTAACTTCGCATTTGCAAAGAATTCTCGCAAAGCAGCCAAACTAGAGCGCTCGTTGGATAAGCTTTTTATAAGATTGACTGAAGCAATAATAAGGCCATCAATCTGATCTGAGTTACATCCTGATTGTGATAATGCGAGAGTAATTGAATATTTGACTAGATCAACAATAGACCTTGGGGATGACCCCTCAGACAAAGCAAATTCACAAAATCTTGCCCCAGCTGTTGGTGACCTCTTGATTAGTGCAATGCAGCGAGCACATGCTTCTTTTGGGCTCAACTTTGATGGAAAATAAGAAGGAACAAGGAGCTTTGTAATTTTTTGAGCAATGCGGGGATGATCATTTGCAAGTGAAGACAATAAAGTACCCAGACCAACAACCTGCAACAGAGAAGGGAATATAAACAGCCTTCTTGAAGATATAAAAAGAACACTCTAATATGCTCGAAGGGAACAAATTATAGATCTTAAGGTTATTTAAGTTCATAGCATGGTTTGTAAAAAGTACCATACCTTATTGTATTGGAATGATCGAAGATCACGAATAGCTAAAAGAAGATCAACAGCAGCAGCTCTGATAGACATAGCAGTATCTGAGATCATATCGCTTAATCTTGGAAGTAGAACTTTCAGTATGTCATGACTTTGTGGATTGTCAAGCAAGTATATGAGACCATTAAGTATTGATAGCCGAACCTCATTGCAAGAATCCTTGGACATGTCGTCAACAATTTTACTCAGAAATTTTGAAATAGTGGGGGCAGGGACAACTTCCCAATATTGGTTAAGAATACGACAGATTCCTTCAACTGCAACTGCTCTTATTTCTGGGTATTCATCCATGAGGAGCTTGTCTATCAAGAAGAACTGCTTCTCTAGAAGAGGATCATTAACATCCTTTGTCACATCTGGATCTTCAAGGGGAAACAAATCTAATAGAAGATGCAAAGCATTATGGCGCACATTGGAGTTTGCGACCTGCCAAGCAGTATCCAGTTCAGATAAGGCAAAGAAATCTGGCTAAATGTAAATAGCCAGATATTATCATTAATATAACATAATATATGCTCAATGATGAACTGTAAAGCAGAAAACTAAACAAATAATTAGTCCAGTTTTTAACAATCAAGTTGAATTCAACTTAAGCTTATCGAGTTTTTCATGGCATTGACATTTCATGATTTATTGGGGACATGAGAGGAATATAATACACTACACATAGTATTAGTGTACCATAGTAACCAATAATATCCTACATTTCTTAATAAACCTAATCATAGTAAAGAATGATTTTTCAGCTCCTTAATGCGTATCATAGTAAAGAATGAGTTCTCACCTTCTTAATGCGTGAAGTCAGGAACATAACAAAATGTGATAAAACGAATGGAGCATGTGATTAGGCACCTTAAAACAGCACCACCTAGCTTTCCTAGGAACGCGATTAGGCACTAGATGCCACCCTGCTGTCAGACTAGCACATAGTGCCTTTAAGAACTCTGTTGTGGTCAACCATGCTTATATATGGAGGTTAAGCATCAGCAATGTTCAGTAAACTATGGGATGTGTTATGTCATAGGTTACTTGAGTATTCTTCAGAGCAGGCTAGTATGTGAAAACATTATGTCAAAACTTCACATCCTATTAATCTTCTGCCTAAATTCAATTGAAGGGTAATAACATATAATCGACACAGTAAGCAATTCCATTCAGTGTTTCTATTATCTGACAATTTTATCCCATTCCTGCTGGAATTATTAGTAGTCACACACACTGCCCACCACCACAAGACAAAAGACAAGGCAAGATATATACCTGCAACGAACGGAACAGCACAGGTTCGGCAAGCCGGAACACCAACTTTTCAACCCCAGCAACCGCTCTCTGCTCGACGAAAGGCGACAGGATCTTCCTGGCCGCCTTGGCCACCTCCTTGCTCCCGGTGTGTACGGCGCCCTCCACCATCCCTTGCAGGAACGCCTCGCCGACCTCCCCCCGGACCCAGCCACCGTCCTTCCACGCCCTGAAGATGACCTCCCCGTAGGCTACCACCGCGGCGCGCTTGCCCCCCGTCAACCCCACCTGCGCCCTGATGAGCTCCAGCCCCTCCCTGGCGATCCCCTCGCTGACCCCGAGCACGAGCGCGAGGAACTTCCTCCCTTCCTCGGCCTTGAGAAAGAGCGGCGAGGCGAAGCAGCGCAGCAGGAGCATCTTGAAGTCGGAGATGCTCTGGTCGTCGTCGTAGTCGAGCAGCGG